CGACCGCCACCCACACCCACTCCCAACCCCTCCCCCACCCATTCCGATCCCCCCCCTGACACGAACACGAACACCCACACCCACACCCACCCACACCCACACCCACACCCTTTTTTAGTAACAAGCAATTAGGTGTTCGTTATGTTTGATATTCGAATTGATAGCTATTGATCTTTATATGTGCATAAAAAGTATAGAGTATATCTAAACTAATTATTCTCTAATTAAATATACATATTAAATAGATCGAAAATCTCCACTACCAACTCATATCATTTCACAATGCATGTATTCGATTTTAGTAGTACTTGAATATATTCATAGGTATTATTATTTATACCTAAACACAAACCTATTTTATTTTATCATTTTAGACACGGACTTATTTATCTAGATGTAAGTCTAAAGTTTTCAATTCAAATATTTTGGAAGAAATATCGAAATCTAGTTTTTATAACAGATGAACAATATCAAGAGAATATTGATGCAAAACTAATTGTTTATCTAGAGGAGTGAGCCGATAGGAAAAAATAGGAATACGCTGCATTCATATAGTTTAACTTTAGGATCTTCAATTTACTGTAGAATTTTGTACATAGTTATAAATGATTCTTAACGATTATCATATTAATATAATAATCGAAAATTTTTATTTTTATATATTTATGCTTGATATATTAAGAGATTTTTTTATCGAATGGGGGTGTATAAATTAAACGATACTCACACTCTCTAAATTCGATTGTCGGTCTTCAAATTGATCGTGGTACAATGACAAGCATTTAGGATAAATTCTTTGACGATGAAAATAGGACAGGAGACGTTTTTCATGTTTACTTCATATAAAATCTTCTGCTAAATTATGCTTCAAAGGAATTAATTGCTGAAAATTTTGTTTTAAAATGCATAACCATATGTACATCTTGATATCGTCTAGCTTCTCTTCTTTTGTTGCAAAGTTTAAGCGTCTTTTCATCGTATTTTTCGTCATTCCTCTCATGTTTAGCTATATTAACAATACTAGCTTCTGTTTTCTGTGATATGGCGCATACGATCGACTAGATGTAAATCGAACATAGTTTTTTTTGATATTTTAGGGCTTAGGGAATGTAACTTTAGAAATTGTATTTTATACGATTGTATTAGAGAAAAATGATAGTTTTTGAACATCTTATATATCGGAGTCCACTAATGAGAACATGAGGGTAATAATAAACGACTAAATTCTTTTCTGACTGCTTGCAATCATCTATTTATGAATTACTATCGATCTCAATCAGTCAAAAGATTATGTATGTATCGATCTTTAAATTATTTGTCTTTAAAATAAGCAGGAAGAGAAAAACTACTACTTACAGATATACCGGGTGTGTCAAAAGTTTTGCGACATTTCTAATTTCGCATACATCTCAACTTGACAAAATGGTAAAACCTCGGTTTATTTTTTGAAAAAGAGGCGTCGTGAAAATTCCTACAAAAAACGTATAAACACATTTCTATTGACTTGTTCTGATCGTTCTTCTCATACTCAATATGAAAAAGCAACATGATAATGCTTTGTCCCACCGTAAGAAAAATGTTGGGTGTGGTTGTGAGATCTGCGTCAAAAGAAGTGCCACAACCATATGCACATCCACACCCAAAATGACAATGACTTTTTTTTGGAACCAAAACTTTCCTAATCTGCTTTTTCTTTTCTTATCATAAACATTATTTGAAATTTTCTATTCAATTCAAACATGTATCATCTAAGTAATTTCGGCAGTTACTGTTAATTGCATGTTAGGTGCAGGTAAAAGGATTTGATCACTCACACCCTAATTTTGAGCTTTTTACACTGTTAGTACAATATATAAAAGTTGGGATAGAAGAGTAGATTTTGCTTTGATATTGTTTTTGATTAAACCAATAAAAAAACAATGTTAATAATAAATAATATGAATTAAAATAAACTTAACCTTTTTATATTGAATATTATAGAAGAAATCATAATAGATGTTTGTCAAATTTGTTAAAATTTTCTAATAATTATCAATAAAATAATTGAAATAGACTAACTAAAAAATAAAAATATTCGTTTGATAATCATTTAGAATTGTTTCACGATCAACTTAAATGTATATTTTGTAAAAAAAGGTTAAATAAATAGTTTCGAGATAAAATTATCGAGTCATATATTATCTAAAGTGAATCTGACGGCAAAAGAATATTATTTTCGAATGAATGTTTTTTTTTATAAATACTATAGATGTTAGTTCGAGCTAAATAAGATCAATATAACGCTGAAAATCTGTTCTTTTGTTTTTCAAAATATAGATTAAATTTGTAAATTTGATTCGAAAAAAAATATTCAATTGACTAAAAAGAGTGATGACAAGAAATTTTTTTATGATATAATTATAATGAACACATATTATTTTAAATAAAATCTTTTTCTATCGGTTTTTCTTATAATAAAATACTCGAAAAGTTAAAGATCTAATCAAAGAGAATAAGTAATAAGCAAATAAAGTATCATATTTCATTTATTCTAACAAAAAGATATTAAGTGCGAACAATTTTATTCAAGTAAAAAAAACATGTTTCTGCATCATATGTATTTGTCACAGATGAGAATTGGAATGATATCTTTTAAATGAATAAAAAGTATTCTTTAAAATCTTCTATATGATGATATTTCTTATTAATCTATGATCAAATTGTTTTTCGAGAAATTGAGGAAATTATCTCGGTGTACTTAATTAGTCCGAAAAAATTATTTATGTGATCTTGTTTCTTTTTCGAGTTCAAACAAAAAGGAATTGTTCTTGAAGAAAGGTACTCATTAGCGTTGAATCAAAAAATCATAGGAAAAGATCTCTGTTTGGGCGTATGATTATGTACAGATTAATATAATTGAAATTATTCATCTGATAGTACAATGTATTTTGACAAACGAATGGTAGAGAAGTATAATTTACAAGTGTTTTTCAATTTAGTACAATTCAGTATATACATAAATGTAGTCTCGAATATTGAAAAAACAGATTAAATCGTGTAATGATAGGATAAATATAGAAGCTGGTTGATGAAAGAATCTCAACTAATAATTATTTAATATCTTTGGCCTAATTTCATAATGTTTGTATATATCACAAAGAAAATTTTAAAAATATTACAAATCGATCATATATTCTAATTTTACAATATAAGAAGTATTAAAATGTATTAGTATTAATTGGAAGCAAAGATATTTAATGAAACTCGAAGATTAAATATTGATAAATAAAAAATTATTATATTGGAACATTAGATTTTTATTTTCTCTTTAACCCTTTGAGTCCCATCGTAGCAAAAAAGCTACACATGTTTCATAATCATTTCTCACAATATAATCTATAAAAATTAGTCCCTAATACCTTGGAATGAAGTAATAAAGAATTCTCTAGAATCCTTTCCAAGTATCTATAAAGGAAATATATAGTTGATTATATGTTTCTGTCTAAAATGAGCTAATCTAACGGTCTTCTTGAATTGAATCCAGCAGAAATAACTTGGAACTCAAAGGGTTAATCTGTTCAACCAATCTCTTTTCTTGTTGATTTGACATCAATGAGACTTTTTTACCAGTTCGTTTTTGATCACTTTTTTGACGAAGTACATAAATTCAATATTCTCCTATTTGTTTCATTTCGTTAAATAATTGAAAATAAAGATTTAACTAAGAAATTTTTAATAGTAATTTAATTGTTTTTCATAATAAGAATCATCAGTAATAAATGTTCTATACAATATCAATGATAAAAAAGCAGATTTATTTTTAAAGTTTTATTCTTTTTATTGAAAATAGTATATAGAAAAACATAAGAATAGGATTATATTCATTTATGATCTGAAATTGCAATGATATTTTGAAATGCTTTATATTGATGATAGGCTTAGTTAATACCCTATATCAATATGTGTTTTTATTCTAAAAGTATGATATTATCTATAAAGAAGAATATTGTCATATCGATATCTATTTATCAAATAAATAAAAATGTTTTTTAAAATTTTGATTTTATTAACATTATTAAATATTGTTTTATCTCAACAAGGTATATTTGATCCTTATACATTTAATGAAGGACAATGCACAGGTGATTATAAATGGACAACTTGGTTTGATACAAATGACCCTAATATGACACAAGGAGAATTTGAAATAACACGTCATATAAAAGAAAATTTTCCTGATTTTATGTGTGCATCTCCAAAAGCTATTGAAGTATGAGAAATAATTTTTTTTTCATTTTTATATATTATTATTTATTATTAGGGTCAAACAGCATTTGATGAAAATCCATCAACAACAGGCGATGCTTTTCGTATTACTATAAAAGATGGATTTTTATGTTTAAATCAACAAATAGTTAATTATAAAAGCAAAATGTGCCAAGATTACAAGGTTCGCTATTGTTGTCCAGCTTCAGCTCTTACGGCACAAGTACAATAATATATTTCAATCAAGTATATTATTTGAACTTGTAACAATATTTGAAATATTCAAATAAAAAGCAAATTAATCATATAAGGATTTTTTATTTTCTTTTTTAATCTATAATATTTCGTATAGAGAATTTATTTGAAGTCAATTTTAATTAAATAATCATATTTTATTATAGAAAATAATAAAAATAAGAGCAATATATATATATATATATATATATATATATATATATGGGACTGGTCAACCTGGCCGGAGGCCCCGATTTATTTTTCATCGCATAGTTTCTATTTTCGACCAAAACGTATGATTTTTTTGCCAGATATAGTACTAATAAAGAGCTAATGAACCGCTATAGTTTCGACTATATACCTTACCCGAATCCAAAAAAAAAAGATAGTCTTATGGAATCTTTCTTGAAAACACACTTTTATCAGATTTGCCACCGCAGGTCATTTTATTCATCTGAAACAATGAAATAGAGAAATAACAAATATCAGTTGGAAAAACTCGATTAGAGCTGTATCATTATCTTTCATTTCGAATAGGATGTTTACTTAACTTAAGATTACAAAGTGCAGAGACTACATGTGCAATTCGAGTAATCTTATCAAAATCATCATAGGCACCTCTGTAAATACTTCCTAAAATGGCATAATTTTTAATGCGTTGATTGATGTTTTCAATCGCTGCTCTTGCACTGGAAATTGACCGATTGAAATCTTTATCTTCAGCTGTTAATTCGCCACCACGAGGTTTCTTTCTCGGGGTTATGACATATTGTTCACCGATATATCCTTTGTCGGCTATGATTTGAACATGTTCTTCTGTATGTTCCAGTAACCCTGATTCTCTTAGAACAGTAATATCATGTACACTGCCTTGATAGCATTTGGACACATGAACTATTCGATGATTAAAATCACAAGTTATCTGTATTTTAAATGCATAGTTTGTTGGGCTTTTTGCATGATAATACGCTTTACGTTGGTCAGAATCTTCTGGCTGGTGAATTGCAATAAAGGTAGAATCAACAATTAGCTTGTGGTACTGTTCAGGTCCATGCGCGGTAGCTTCATCATCCATATCATCAGGTAATAAAATTAACGTCGGATATGCAGATGCATATAATATATCTACCACGGCAGATAAAAAATAGTTCACTGTTGATTTGCTGAAGTTTAACTCTGCTGCTATATGACGCTCAGAGTGATAATGCTTCAGATACCATAGTGTAACTGCAAGTAAATTGATAGGCGATAAAAATTTATTATTTGTATCTGTTGTATGTTGTTGTTTTCTATTCATACAAAATTCGATCAGCGATTGTTCGCACATATTGAATAATTGTTGCACTTGTTCGATGTCGTGTCCTGTATGTTGTGTACATGACTCATCGCTACGACTCCACTCGGACCAGGGGCGTTGCTCTAGAGTATAAAATCACTAGAAAAATTCTGATGCTTTGTTGTCATATGTTTTAGACACACCACACAATAGACTGGAAGTTAAAACGCTCACTAAATACAAATATTTCTTACCATTATCGGATATTGCAATTTCTTGAAATCTTGAGATCCGATTTTCCATCTTCAACTGCTGCCGTTCTTCTTCAAGCTCTGGTGTACAATGGTTACATCTGTTGCGATGTCGATCGTAATTATTGTATAAACCTGATTTTCCAGAAGGAACACATGTCCAAACCAGCATTGATTGACAACTATTGCAATATTTTCGTCGATCAGTTATAGCAGTCTGACATTCAGGACAATCCCATTCGATTTCTGATGAAGATGATATCATAGCGATATATAGATTAATGTATTGTTTTAGTGAAAATGTATTAAAGGAAAATAACAAATGTAAACAAAGAAACTATATTGAAGTGAATCATGTGATCAGCTGTTGCTGTTATGTGGTGAGAAAATAACAAATAAGAAAACAATTTCTGTTTAATGGCCTCCTTTCCAGAGATGTGTCTTTTGTGAAGATGTCAACCTATAACTATAAACGCATTTCTGTCTAATTATTATTGACATATAGCGCAGATATAAGCTTGGTTGTTAACTTTCCATAGTGCGAAATTTATGTACTAGATGAAAATTAAAATGCATTTCAATAGTGCACTGTACGAAAACGTTTAGTTATATTATCTTCGAACGAGGTATATAGTCGAAACTATAGCGGTTTATTAGCTCTTTATTAGTACTATATCTGGTAAAAAAATCATACGTTTTGGTCGAAAATAGAAACTATGCGATGAAAAATAAATCGGGGCCTCCGGCCAGGTTGACCAGCCCCATATATATCCCCATAAGTATTACAATAATCATAGAATTTTTAATTCAAGTAGAATATTGAATATTACTATACACTGTAATTTTTTTTTAAATTCTATTTTGAAGAAAATCGATATTGAGTAAGCTAAAGGATTTTATAAGTCTTATGATTTATTCATCGAATTTCGAATATTTTGAAATTAATGCTGGATTTTCTAATTCTAAGAATTTCGGTTTTATTTCCTATGTTTAATCGAAGCTAGAATATCATTTGCTTATTTTCAAAAAGCTGGAAATTCATTGTTGAATTCATATGGACATTCCTTGAATATCCTTCCAGAATTCATATAGGCATTCCCTTTTTTTACAGTGTAGTGGTTTGGACCGCAATAGAATTGATCGTTTTTATTATTGGTTATTATTTATGATATTATTTCTTATCACGAATAATCTTGCTATTGTCGATGGACGAACTATAGCCTGCGATTGCAAATGTTCTAATGGTCAATGCATCCCTGAAAGCAACGTTGCGAGATGTAATAAGAAGTGTTTACACTGTAATACCAATTGTGATTGTTGCCTTTCTTGCTGCCCTCCTGTTTTGAGACCAAATCAACCACCCTGTTGTGATTGCGGCTTCGATGGCTGAGAAATACGTTTTTCAAATAGAAAATATTATTGCAAATTTTCAACCAAGCCATTTCGAATATCTGTCGCTATTACATTTATTGTTGATTATTACAAAGGAACTAATTAATTTTTTGTACATATTTTCATATTTCAATATAATTCTTATCATGACTGATTTATGCTACTATATTTATTAGTTGTAGATTTAGATTTTTAATAAATAATAATAATCGGAAAGGAAAATTCGTAATCGATGAAAG